CGTCCGCCCCCTGCCGGAGCCCGGGACGCGCGCACCTGGGAGCGTCCGGCTCCTCTGGGTAGGCGGACGACTCTCCGCACAGTTACACTAACCAGCCCTCTTCTCCTTCCTTGCTCTGAGTCCTGTCTGGAGAACTTGGCCAGCTTCATAGCTATTTCTTTCCTGCTTAAAAATTCTTTTACACCGAGATTCTTTTCATCGTAGGATGAATGTCACAAATAATACCTAGAAAAGACACTTCAGAGACTGGATTTCATCTGCATTTCCGGCGTTCATACATTCGGGTTTTCCGGATGATAAACGTTTCTGAAAATCATTTAATTGTCTAAGAAATAATTTCTTCTATTCCTCTAATTGAAAATAATAAGGTTACCCTGGATTCAAAACTGCTAGAGACTACATGTATTAAATAATTTTGCTGTAAAACACTTGTAAGTACAGTGTATTTGTTCCTGAAGTCTTTTGTAGTAATCATAGCAGTTATTCACCAAATGTACTTTAGTAGCACTAATAACTAATTAAAAGGTAATTTATACCCATTAATTCAAATGAATGAGAAGTTTGACCTCCAGTTAAGTAACTGTTATTAAGCTGTTTCTTCTGTTGGCATGAACAAAAACAGTAATTAGCACACTCATAAGTGTAGATTTATACACTATTTTTATAATCTGAAACACTGTATTTAGGGCAACTATTGGAGAGCAGTTTACAGTTTTTAGATATTAGAAAAGAAGTGTTTACTGTTGCAAAAAGATCAAGTGGCATAATTTATTAAATGAGATGAATCTCCATGACAGTGACATCTGATCTCACAGCCATTGACACTCATCCTCTTGAAATTGTAGTCTAAAAGATTAAGAAAACTACTTCATTTACAAACACAAGGCATCCCTTTGCCAACCTCTACCCTTTTTGCTGTGGTTCCTCAAGTACTTGGTCTTTAGTTCCTACTGAAAGGAATTAACTTAGGAGTTGAGTTCTAAGGTGAAAGTTTTTCCCTTTCAAATAGATTCTAAGAGTTATACTATGCCGAACTAGTTACATGAACTCGTAATGTTGGAGGTCGTACTCTACTGTAGTCTTACGGATGTGTTATACTTTTGGCACAATAAATATACAGCCTTCCGTAGCATTTCCTATGACTAAGGCCAAAAGCTTTGATGAAAAAGAGAAATATATAATGTTATCAGTTTGACCTTATTATAACAGCCAAGTAGATGTGAATGATCTACATCTTCATTGATTAAAATTCTGACAGAGCTGAATGTGATGATGGTGCACACCTGACCTGTAATCCCAGCACTTGAGAGGCTGAGGCAAGAAGATCACATGTGTGAGGCCAGCCCAGGCTACAGAGCAAGACCTTGTCTCAGAAACAAAACAAAACAAAATCTATTTTACTCACACACTAAAGAGTGAGAAAGAATTTATGTGTTAATCTGCTACTATAGAGAATATGGACTTTATGTTGGAAGAGTGTTTGCTGAGCTGCTTGGACTGTTCTCGAAAAGTGCATGGTAGGCACAAAAAATGCGGCATGGTGCTAAGAAGGAGAGGAACGCATGCAGCCACATTTCTGCTAAGAACTCTTATAATCCAGCTCTGAAGAGTTACAATGAAGACCTTCTACTGCCCAGAAAAACAAACGCAAGCACCACTCTACACTCAGTGGCTCAGGGTAATGCCTCATGCTGCGGAACACATTTTGTTTCGTCTAATCCCTAGAGTATAAATACAAATTGTTGTAGGGGTGAAAATTGTATAACACTTCCAGTGGACAGTCTTGGATCCTCAGATGTGTCAGTTTTTAAGAAAAATTCAAAAAATAACAACAATCTTTGCCAACAGTAGACAAGACTTTCGGCGTTAGATTGACAGATGCAACCACTGTCCTCTCCCCTCATCTCCCAAGACAATGACACTTTCTCAACTCCCAGAAACTTCACTTGGCTGTCATTTCTGCTATTGTGCCAGCACCTTGTGTTATATCTGGCAAAAGGAAGGTATTAAATGTTTCTTAAATGAATAAACTTTGCAGAATTGACATGGCTCAGAAAAGCTTTCTAAAATCTGATTTACATTTTTTAATAGTACTCATGCTCTTTATCCTAAATATCATGGCCATGGTCCCATATTTTTGGAGAAAGCAATTTTTAGAATTGTTACATTGTAAATATGTATATTTTAATATGCCATTTATTCTGTTGATTCGGTTTCACATTATAAAACAATATTCCCTTATTTTAGAGACCCTAAAACACATTAAAATGTATGAGACAGAAAATTAAAATTACCTTTGGATACACAATTAAGATGAACACAAATTTTGATCAAGCTGACGTTAGCTTGTGTAATGGCTCTTCCATTTAATAGTGGTGTTGCTGTGTTACTTACCTTCCCTGGGCCTCAGTTGCTTCAGATATGTAACTGGATAAAGATAAACCTCCTTCACGCGTAAATATAATGCAGGGTGCGTAAAGTGCTAAACATAGTGCTTAGTGTGTAGTCATACTTACCCCAATGCTTAAAAAATGTGATTGAAAATACAAAGTGCTTTACCACCAGTTCACCCTATACATAAATGTACCAGTGTCTGAGAAATTGAGCCCTGCATGATGGCAGGCTGATGCAGGAAGATTGCAAGGTCAAGCCCAATCTGGACCATTCAGCAATGAGATCTGTCTCAAAAGAAAGAAAAGAAAAAAAAAAAAACTGAAACACAAAAAATGTAGATGAAGCTCAGTGCTAAGTCACTGAGTCCAATGCCTAGGCCCCCCTGGCCCCCAGCTGTCAAAAGAATTGGAATCATCTTGTAGACCACCATACATGCTTTGAAAAATACTAATATTACTCTGCTACTGCTTCTGTATTTTGATACAATTTAGTGACTGCAAAAAACTTCACCTGTGGATGTTTTTATTTAACCTTTTCGGGGGCTTTTATGTTCCTGTATTCCTATAGTAATGGATACATGTCTTTATTTGTAGATTTTCATATGCATGTCTTTAATGCAATTTTTCCTTCAGGCTTGATATATAGAACATCTGATTCTCAATTGACATAATGTTATCTCCTAAAATATATTTGATAGGTGAAACTGAAAGTTTTCAAACTCTTATTCATTTATTTATTCGAGACTAATTACTTTTTTGTCATTCTTTTAAGCATTTTTTTAAAAAAATACGGCTTGTTCAAGTCTTTTGCCCATGTGTCTTTTGGTATTTGAATAATTTTTTCTTATTTGAGTGGTGATATTAATCTCCCAATAGGGAAAAGCAAACAAGGAAGGAAGTACTTAGTGGCAAAGAGGGCATGTGGCAAAGATGCAGAAATTACTGTGGCTAAAGCAGAAAGGCTGAAGAGGTTATTACAGCTGGAAGCAGATCAGCTATGAAATCAGGACGGCCATGGTGCTGGGGCTTCTGACCGCTTACAGTCCCTTTCAAAAGCCCAGGGTCACTAAATAGTTTGCAAACAGCTTACTATAAGAAGCTTGTACATGAAGAGTTTGCAGGTTTTTGTGGGCTCTTTCTCTTAGTTTCCTGTGTTGTAGGAAACTTTCAAATTTTCCTAAAATAAATGGGATTGAAAGGAAAGACAGTTGCTGGGCATGATGACCTGTGCTTATAATCCCAGCACACTGGAGACTGAGGCAGGAGGATTGGTGTAAGTTCAAGACCAGTCTGAACTGCATGGTGAACAAGAAAGAAAGATGGGGAGGGGGAGGAGAGGGGGAGAGAGAGAGAGGGAGGGAGAGAGAGAGAAAGAAAGGGAAAGAAAGAAAGACAGACATTAGTGGTTACAGATCCTGTGGGCAACTAACTGAAATTTCACATCAAAACTAAATCATTAATGTTAACTATAATTTCATGTGAGGTTAATATCATATCCTAGCCAACATTTTCAGCTGTAGGTAAAATTTAAATATTTAAAGTAAGAATTTAATCTCCCATCTTAATGAGTTTTGTATGCATAATGTTACAAAAAATTTGGTAGTTTTATAAAAT